TTATCTCGAAAACATGACATTATTGAGAAAAATTGTTCCGACAAAAGTTATGAGGTTCTAATGATCTATTTACTGATCTTATCAGTTTGATTGTGAGTGGCGTTGCTAAAGTCAGGTCAAGGTCGCATCGATTTTTTCCAATGGTATACCCTACTTTTGTTTCTAGAATCTAATAGTTGATGTCGAGAGCTTTTTAAAACGTTATAAAAAAATATTTTTTTATTAAGCATTTTTTTATGATACTTGAAAGTTACAATACCGTCGGCATTAGTATGACCCAAGTCCGACCTATTTGCTTTGCTAAAACCTGTTGAATGTTTTTCAGGATCATGTCCTGAATATCATTTGTCAACATCAAAGCCATTGGACGTTGTGCCTCTTTTTTTTCATTTTTACATAGAAATGTAATTTTTTAGTGCAAAAATGAAAATAAAATAATGCAAAATGCACTGTTCAAGAAATATTTTAGTGCATCAATTAAAATAATATCTATATATACGCACGCACGCACGCACGCACGCACGCACGCACGCACGCACGCACGCACGCACGCACGCACGCACGCACGCACGCACGCATGCATGCATGCAACACACACATAAGGTGAATCATTTTAAGTGATACACAAGTGAAATATCGTAAAATATAAAAGATACGAAAAAATGTTTTAAAAAGTTGCTCAATTATTATTAGGGGGAAAGAAAGTTGTGACTGGTTGACCTAGAGACATATTCAATTTTAAAATATCTTTAGTAGATCTGTAGTTACAGCCATCTGTAGTGAGCAAAACTATACCGAAATACCTAATAAAATATAAACAATCTACAATACAATTACTACTGTGATACGACATTGGATAAAATTTAACTCTCTAACTCACTTGGGCCAATGAATTGAGTATTTATGATCTACTTTTCTACGATATTCTACAATATCCTATGATATTTTACGATATTCTCTTAGGATCGCCTTTGTCAAATTGTCTCAGTCAATTTAAGATAATCCTCAGTATAAAATTTATTATGTGGGTAGAGTGGCTAGATCTAATCTAAATAAACTAGGACATTCCTGATTGAAAAGTAGGACAAAAAAGAAGATGTTTTAAATTAAATTATAATGTAAGTTATATATTTGAACTCAAAAGTAGAAGAAAAACATTTAAAAATCCTAAGAACATAGGATATTTGAATTCTCGCTGTTTTTTGCTAAAATATAAAACTCATGCTTATTTCATCAAAAATTTACTTGATATTTTATTCACAATATTGTCCATAGAAAGCTACAATCTTTTCCCACTTTTCGGGTAACAAATGGATTCCGTAGTAGAAAAATTCAGGTTTTTTCGAGGCGATTCAGTCATCGAACCATATTCGAAATAACTGAAGTACTCAGAAAGATCATGCTACATCGACCGAAACAAATAATAATCTGAAGGAGCAACGTCTGGTGAATAGGGCGAATGGGATGAGATATCCCTTCTAAGTGCCTCCAAGATTTCTTTCATTGGTTCTGCAACATGTGATCTAGCGTTGTTGTATGAAAAAGAATAACTTTGTCATGTCTTTGGCCTATTGCGGGCGTTTTTCTTTGAGTGCTTGATTCAAATTGAATAATTGACGTCGGTAGCATTCAGCATTGATGGTGTGACTTAGTTACAACAGCTCATAGTACACTATACCAACTTGATCTCACCAAATGCACAGAATGACCTTCTTTCCATGAATATTCTGTTTTGGAGTTGATGTTGATGGTCCGCCGGGACGCATCTATGATTTCTTGCGCTTAGGATTATTGTAACAAATCCATTTTTCATCGCCAGTCACAATTCGATGCAAAAACGACTTCCGTTTTTGTCTTTGAAGCAGCAATTCACAAATGGCTAAACGTTTCACAATGTCTCTCAATTCATGTGGGATCCAATTTCCTAGCTTCTAGATCATTGTGTTTAAACATTTCCTAACGGTTGACTCATCGACATTTAATGTTTCCGACAACTCTTTAAGCGTCTGACATAAATCTTCTTGAAGCAATGCTTCCAATTCTTTATCTTCAAACTTTTTTGAACCAGAGTGCTCTTTGTCATTCACGTCAAAATCGCTGTTTTTGAATCTTCTAAAGCAATCTTTGCAAGTTGTTGCAGATAGAGTATGTTTCTCATAAACCTTCACTAGTAAATGATTTTTAGCAGCAGCAGATTTCTTGAGATTAAAACAGAAAAGTAATGCTTTCTACAAATACTCTTTTTTTGATACGAAACTCGACATTTTTAATGCGATAAAAAATTGTGTTCTTTGCATCCGATCAAATGTACTTACATACTGATTATTAAAACCTATTGATAGTACTTAAGATAGTACTTAAACCTATTGATAGAGTTTAAGAGAAGAATTAATTTGGGGAATGCGTGCTTCTATTCGGTTAAGAAACTACTCGGTTCGCGGATATTGTCTAGGCGCTTAAAAATTAGAATTTACAGAACGATTATTTTACCGGTAGTCCTTTATGGCAGCGAAGCGTGGTCACTTACATTACAAGACGAGAAAAGATTTAGGGCTTTCGAAAATAAAGTACTTCGAAAAATCATCGGGGCAAAACGCGATGAGGAAACGGGCGAATGGAGAAAATTACACAACGCAGAATTACATCAATTATATAATAGTCCGGATATTATTAATGTCATAAAATCGCGTCGATTAAGATGGGCAGGTCACGCGGCGCGTATGGATGAGAATCGAATTGCATATAAAGTACTAATTGGTAAACCGGATGGGAAAAGACCATTGGGTAGACCAAGACGTAGATGGGAAGAAAATATTAGAATGGACCTTAACGAAATGGGGTACGAGGGTCACAAATGGAGGGATCTGGCTCAGGGACGGGAACAGTGGCGGGATTTGGTATTTGCGGTAATGAGCTTTCGAGTTCCTAACGCCTAATAATAATAATAATAATAATAATTGATAGTACTAGTACTTTCATATACATCAGCAGTCACTTTCGGCCAAGTTGAAGTATTGATCCCTCGCGGTCAACAGCAAAATTAATTCAAGCATCTAAAAATATTTATTAGCAGTATAAATAAGTTTCCGCCGTTTTTTATCAAAAATTGGGCATTTATTGTGAAAGAACGGTATCTAATGTTTTATTCGAAGTATTGTCCATCCCTAGCCACTACTTTTTCCCATCTTTCTGGCAGCATACGGATACAGCGTCGGAAAAACGCTTCATCTTTTGAAGCTGTCCACGAATCGATCCAATTTTTGGTATCTTCATATGATGTGAAGTGTTGCTCAGACAGGCTATGCGCCATCGATCGAAACAGGTAGTAATCAGAAGGAGCAATGTCTGGTGAATACGGCGGGTGGGGTAAAACTTTCCAATTGAGTATTTCCAAGTAGGTTTTGACCGGCGCCGCAACATGTGGACGAGCATTATCATGCAGAAGAATAACTTTGTCGTGTCTGGAGTAGTAGTGGACGCGTTTTTCCTTAAGTGCTCAGCTCAATCTCATCAATTGTGTTCGGTAGAGAGCCCCAGTAATGGTTTCGTTCGGTTTGAGCAACTCATAATAAACGACACCTAACAGCTGTCGTTAGCTGATCCCACCAAATACACAACATGAGCTTTTTCCCATGAATGTTCGGCTTGGCTGTCGATGTTGAAGCATGGCCAGGTGGTCCCCATGATTTCTTCTTCTTTGGGTAGTGGATCCATTTTTCATCACCAGTGACTACACGGTGCAAAAATCCTTTCGTTTATGCCTGGCAAACAGCATTTCACATGTGAAAAATCGGCGTTCAACGTTTCTCGGCTTCAGTTCATATGGAACCCAATTTTCTTGCTTTTGAATCATTCCCAACGATTTTAAGCGATGTGAAATTGCTGGTTGAGTCACTCCTAATGTAAGTGCAAGTGCTTCTTGCGTTGCACGAATCTTCATCCAATAATGCTTCCAATTCCGCGTCTTCGTACACTTTCGGCCTTCCGCTACGTTCTTTGTCTTCGACGTCAAATTCACCGTTCTTAAACTTTTGAAACCACTCACGGCAACTTCTCTCACTTAAGGCAGCCTCACCATATGCTTCTACAAGCAATCGATGCGCCTCAGCTGCAGATTTCTTCAAATTAAAGAAGTAAATCAAAAGCTCCCGCAAATGATGCGTTAGTCATATACACAAGCATGAGCTCACGTATATGTGCTGTTGGCGCGCTGATGGCGCTAGAGCGCCTTGCCACGATAAATAGTTGAACTTATAGGCGTAGAAAAGTGACGTTTTGATGACGAAATTTGTGCTGCATGCCATTTCGTTATTATTTGCTCAATTATGAAAATGTGACTTGTCAAAGTACTTATCAAAGTCGTAATTATCGACTAAAGTTATTTTAAAATTTTATATGTAAAAGCGTATTTTTCACTGGATCAACAGCTGTCAGATCATGTGTTTCTGCTCGAGTATAGGTTCACTTGCTTTTTACGATTGTCAAAGGAGGAAAGGACAGTTTTCGTCGATTTTTATAAATGGCGTAACATAAATTAACGTGTCATTCCCCGACGACTACAGGAGCCTTAAGATGGAATCATACGGTGCGGAAAAGGGAATAAAGAATGCGTCATTGGAATAACCAGTTAGTACTATTCGAAATAACGCAAAATAACACTGATTGGTTATTTCTATGATACATTCTCTATTCCACAGTCGTTTTCCGCACCGTGTGATTTCACCCTTAATAATTTCTGCCCCTCTCTCCCGCCCTCTCCCCTCTCCCTTCCTCTCCTCCCTTCCATCACTCCTTCCTCCTTCTTCCCATCTCTTTCTCCCACCATTCCTCTTTCCCCATTCCTTCCTCCCCTCTCTCTCTCAAAATGAGTACACTCGAATATGCTAAAAAACCGGCCAGACATTCCCGGCGCTTTAAAAAAAAAGAGTACATATCCAGAAAAAATTGGACGTCTAGTTGCTCTATTTATGTGTGACAGAGTCACAGTGACTTAATAACTTCCGACTCCCTCACTCGCTTTCAAGTCCCAAAAGTAATACAAAAAAGATTACACATTGAAAATCGACTCGGATGCCTCCGGGAGCCCGAAAAAAAAAGAGTACATTTCTGAGAAAAAAGTCCGGATGATTACCCTGTATGTGGGAATATTGCGTCACACGTAACAAAATTGTAAATATGCTTCTCATCTTATAATTATAGTTCACTGATTACACGTAGTTATTATACAATATTTACTTTCATTTACCCTTATATATGAAGTATATTAACAAGGGATGTTTCACAACTGTCCGGAACCGATTTGATTCTTCATGAAATATGTTGTAAACACAAAAATCTAAGAGACACGTATTTTTTTTATACGTGCGCTAACTTATGTTTAAGGAATGAAACACTTCTTTGAAAAAAAAAACGGTATTTTTCAAGCTGAATATCGTTGGAAGTATAAAAGATGGAAAAAAATGATTTAACAAAAGTTGTATAGTTTCAAAAATATTTTTAAGTTGTGAACTAAAAATTTTTTAATTTTTTTTTTGTTTGACGAAATTTTCATCTCGCACAGTTTTCTCAAATTTTTCAATTTTTTTTATTAAATTAAAGATTTTTTTTTTCAAATTCAACCATGTATAATAAAGTTATATTACAAGATATTATTTTTGAGAATTAATTATAAGCTCTTCAATACACACGCTATTTGTGCTCATGTGCATAAGTAATTATTGTCGAAACAATAAGATACATAAATCGATGAAGAACGAAATTGATATTTCTAGATATTACAGATGATTGATATTACAGATTAAAAATAACATTAACAGTAAGAGTTATGATAGTTTTTATTATTCTTCCTTAAGTGAGTAAAACTTTTGTTTTTTTTTCATCTTTGTATTATACGTTATTTCCTTATAACATCTTAATATTATTCTCTGAAAGTTATTTCTTAATGATCACTTTTGCTTCAACATTCAAAAATTCGGTGAAAAGAAATCGTAAAACACTCAATAAAAAAGCAAATTGGAGATTTACTCTTTCGACTACTGTAAAACTCATTTTTGTATGATTTTTACTTCACACCATAAATCTTTGTAAAATTTGTACAAAATGTTCAGATTTGACGGGTATTTGTTTGTGTTTGTATAGCTCCGTAAAGGATCAATCAAATTAAAATATCAATTACCTTCAAAAGTAAAGATTTCAATTTTTTAAATGTTTTTTTACAAATATTGTTGATTATTTTTGACGAAGTTATTCTATCTTGAAATTAAAGAATCATTTTGAATTAGCATTAAAAAGGCCAAATCAAAGTTTAAGTTTCTCTGCGAAAAATGATTATGAAACAATGTTTGAAATAAGCGTTTTAAAACTTAAAGCCAACTTTCAGATGAAATATCAATTACCGATTTCAAAGATAGAGATTACAAGCTTTCAAACGCTTTTTTGGTTTTCCGTCTACGATGATTTTTCGTCGAGTTACGGTGTTCTGAATATTGCACAATTTTGAGCATGTTCGAAAATGTCCCCTATTTTTTGTTGAGTAGTGTATAAACAAATTAAAAAGTATTAACTATATATATATAACAATAATTAAAAATAAATTAATAACTATTATAATTAAAAAAATATACTCTTGTTTTACTAAAACGTTATTTGTTTCAATGATTGAATTAATAAGATTTTTTATTTGAATTTATAATATTATTCATAGAAAATTATTTTTCTCATATAAAAATAAAAAATAATTCAAACATTTTGAAATACATTGCATTGCAATGCAAATTTTCATAGAAATTAATATTTTTTACCATTTGTAGGCTCTTATTAGTCATTTTGAGGAGAAGGCGGTACATATTCTTTGTGATGTAGTTACGCAACATATTGAAGCAACAAAGACGCTACAAGCTAACGATGATAGTAGCAACAGCAACGAAAGTTGGTGGAAGTTACGGGAATCCTCTATTTTGGCACTGAGTCTTTCTAAGAATTGTGTCATTGAAAAACAGCAAGCTGAAACATTGCAGTTTGATATCATTAGATTTCTAGATGTAGTTGTGTTGGGAATGTTAAATGATTCGGGTAATTAATCGTATGTATATGTGTGTATATATATATATGTATGCGTGCGTGCGTGCGTGCGTGCGTGCGTGCGTGCGTGCGTGCGTGCGTGCGTGCGTGCGTGCGTGCGTTCCTTATAAAGAATTTTAAGACGAACAAATGATATGGTTATTTTTTGTTTTTCACTAATTTAAACAGAAGTTATGTTTAACTAAACGTTTACGAAATAAAATAAATTTAAAATATTAAAAAATTCATATCTAGGAAACTAATGATGACAAAAATCTAAAAAAATAACTAAATATATATTTTAATTGTAAAGCATATATTTTAAAACTTAGTAAAAAAAATCAGTAGGAGTCGGTGACGAAAGCCGATTTGTCGAAAAATGTCCCATACATACAGTGAGGCATACAACTTGCATACCTCAAAAAAATTTATAAACTATAAATTGTATGAAAAACTGTTACATATATAAAAGTTGTATGACTTCGATGGAGAGGGGGGGGGGGAGGACATTACATAGTGCATAAATTTTTTTATAGGTGGGGGCGCTAAAAAAATTTCGAAGTTAACCTCATTCTTTTAAATGAAATTTTTATATGAATTTTTTACATAATATAATTTCTCTAACTGTTCTGTATACAAAAATATTAAGATAAAGATATCGAAAAATCAATAGTTTACGAGATATTTTATACTTCATTCCAGCACATATTGACATAAAATATTAAATATTATATCTCTTAAAGTATTAATTTTTTAATAATGATATCTTAATACTTTTATGAATAGAATAATAAGATGAATCAAATAGTGTAAAAAAAATACATGTAGTTACTTATTTAAAAAATTATCCATTTTGCTCACATATTTTTTTAAAGCAATTATGTTTCTTTACACCAATTAATTCATCTTTTATTTATTTTATTTATAAAAGTATTAAGATACGATTATAAAAAAATTAATGTTTTACGAGATATTTTTTTTAATACGTGCCAGGAATAAAGTATAAAATATCTCATAAATTATTGATTTTTTTATACTTTTATCTTAATATTTTTTTATGCAGAATATATATAGTTAGAGGAATCATATTGTATAAAAAATTCATATAATTCCATTAAAAAACATGAGATTGACATTTTTTTAACACTTCCACTTGTAAAAAAATTTTTGTACTATGTTATGACCCTTCGAAGTCATACACTTTTGTATATAGTTTTTCATATAACTTAAGTCTATTCTACAATGTGCTCTTTGTTTCCTGTTTAAACGGGATAAAAAGCAAAAAAAAATAAATAAGATGTAAAAAATAAAGCAACAAACAAAAAGCAACAAACAGGAAACAAAATGCACATTGTAGAACAGGCTTTATAGTAATAGCTAATAAGTAAGTTTTTCGAGGTATGCAAGTTGTATGCCTCACTCTGTATATGTATATGCACGCACGCGCGCACACAAGGTGATCCAGAATATTTGGAACTATTTTTATGTACAGATTGCAGATAGAACGGATTAAATTGAATCGAAAAATCCTGTACAAATAATAAAATTAACTTTTACAATTTTAACGCAATAGTTAATAAGTTATTAATTATTAAAAATTGTATTAGTGCGGTCTACTACCGAATGCAAGGGCATGACAAGCGGCGAGATGCAGCCGTCCAAGTTGCTAGGCAGTCTAGACACGGAATTATATTTATTACTAATTAACAATTCTCCGTGTGCCTAGCAACCTTGATCACTGGGCGGGCTGCATCCAGTGATGCATATTTGGGTCTGGACTTCGGGTACGTCGCGTTTGGCACTGAGCTCGGCTCAGAGCGTTCAGAGCGATTGAGCGCGTCAGCGAGATACGTTCGTCCTTTTTGCGTTCGGCAACTTTCGTCGCATCGAATGCGACCCGAATGTGCATCACTGGTTGTATCTCATCATTGCGCTTCGGTGGTAAGCTAGGCTAATATGGCAATTTTTAATAATTAATAACTTGTTAACTATTGCAAAAATTGAAAAACTGTACAGGATTTTTCGATTCGATTTAGTCTGTTCTATCTGTATATGTGAAAATAATCCCAAGGTAATTTTACCCAAGGGTAATTTTAATTTAATCTTAACAGGCAGATATTTCGAAAATATATAATATTACCAAAAAACATTCTAAATAAAAGTTGTATGATATAGAGGGAGACGTTCAATGGTAACTATACAACTCTTTGAAATGTTTTTTGGTAATATTATATATTTTCGAAATATCTGGTACAATTGCATATTTTTGAAATATTTG